AGATTTAATGTGATTTAATTTCAAATTACTTGATGTTCAATATAACTATCGAATATGTAATTGCAATGAATCAATGACTCTCCTTCAATCCAAGTCTTATCTTCAAATTAACCTACAAAACCCCAAAGTTGGACCTCGAGGTAGAGACTCTGATACTTAGATTAGCAATAATCTAGTCTACCTTAAGAAAAACTGTAAAAGAAACTTCAAGTTAGTTTCAATTACCGTTTTGAGGTAACCATTGGCAGTATTTGTAGGTCTTAATGAGATATTCACGTGGTTTGTTTAACAAAATAATCGGTAAGGTAATGATTTCAAGAACATGGGATTGGGTGAGGACATGCTTACTGTAATTATCATACGACTAGGGAGAGCTGAATTCAAACCTTATCTCGGCTGTCGAGTGACCAAAATCAACAAGTTAAGGAGAGAATTGAACTTACCAAGCACACAATACGTCCGAGGTCAGTAATTACAAACTTGCTCTAAACCTGTCCTTACAAAGTACTAGAGAGTTGATAAAAAGAAAAAGAAAGAAAGAAAAAAACACCTAAGCCCTTCCTTTAGTTTGTTTTAAGATTTACATTAAGGATAAAAGCCACTTATTTTCAACAACACATAGCGTTGTTTTGAAACTTGGACCGGATCGGTCGGTCCAATTGGTCCGACTATCGTTCGGAGCCTGATATGGGCTGGGTTGACACCCAGGCCCGTTTAGACGAACTAATCGTCCAAACCTAGAAAACTCGTTTAACCCGTCCCGCCCGATAGACCTGGCAAACCTGCTTGGTGAATTGCTCCAAGCTGGACGCACCGATGCACGCTCTGCAACTTTTTTTTTCCCCACAGTTGGGGTTTCATAATTTCATTGACTCATTCCATTCTCAACTCTTCCAACTCTCAAGTCTCAAGTCTCAAGTCTTAACTCCTATCACAACAAAACAAAATCGGAAAATCCATTCTCCAGTCTTCATCATCCATCAGTTCTCCTTCTCGACTTCTCCACTCTCCATTCTTCAGTCTCCATCTTTTTTTCCACGAAGAAGAAACCACAAGGCAATAGATCAAGCAACAGATTGGCATTCATCATCTCTCCAATAGATCGGTATTCAGTAGGCAGCAGTAGATCGATATCCAACAGGTAGCAGCAGATCGACATCCAACAGGCAGCAGTAATAGCAGTAAGCAGCAGATTGGCGTTCACCCACCAACTTTGACCCAATTTTAATTTATGCATCATTTACATATTAGTTTGAGTTTTTGGACTTATTTTTCATATATATGTATATGTGAGATTTATTAATTTTGAAATTTGTAATTATATGACACTTTTTAATCTATTTATTGAGTTTTTAGATTTGTATTTGGTACAAATTGCAAGGAAAAAAAATCATAAAACAACAATAGAATTCTGTCGGGAAAACCCAAGATTGCAAATTTTGGCGTTTTTGATTGATCCGGCCAATTGACTGACTGAACCAATCAGATCGACCAAACCAAAAATTGGTGAGTAAACCGATTCAATTACTGGTCCAATTTTCAAAACCATGACGCATAGATATTCGAATCTTATTAGGAAATAAACAGATAGTTCCATTCCATCAATAAAAATTTCAACATATTGAACCAATCCATTTCCTTGCCGTCCTCTCCCCGTCACATTGGCCTCTAGAAGGAGATTACAGTGGACCAATAAAATTTTGTATTTGTTTGTCTACTTTTCAATTCATAACTTCCTTTTCATGATTACTTTAAAATCAACTGGGGATTATAATTACCAAAATCATCGTCAATGTGTAGCCTTCTCGACTTTTCTATCGACTTAAAATATATCTCATTTTATTAAAAGTAACATGTTGCCTCTTAAATCATATAATATATATAGTTGAGGTGAATTAA